GTAATGGACAAGTGACATTGATGCCATCTGTGGTCGTCTTTGTAACAGTGTTATTGTAATAGACAAGTGACATTGATGCCATCTAAGGTCGTCTTTGTAACAGTGTTATTGTAATAGACAAGTGACATTGATGCCATCTGAGGTCGTCTTTGTAACAGTGTTATTGTAATAGCGTAAGAAGACAATGTGACTTAATGTGGATAAAATCGGGCTGATGAAACATCTGCTCTGCACAATTATGTTTTTATAGTAAATAGTTCCAGTATGATTAAACTGATATTAAATTAATATTTCCGGTGTTGCGCTAAGAAAAAAAAACTTTCTGCATTACATTCTGCATCTAATTTCAATTTATGTTTCCCACTGTAATGCTATTCTCTGTTCCCCGTTGTAATTTTATTTTATGTTTTCAATTGTGATGTTATTCTGTTTCCCATTGTAATGTTATTCCATGTTTCCAATTGTAATGTTATTCTATGTTTCACATTGTAATGTTATTATGTGTTTCCCGTTGTAATGTTATTCCATGTTTCCAATTGTAATGTTATTCTATGTTTCACATTGTAATGTTATTATGTGTTTCCCGTTGTAATGTTATTCTGAGTTTCCTATTGTAGTGCTATTCTGTGTTTCCCATTGTAACGTTATTAATGTTATGTTATGTTTTAATGTTATTCTATGTTTCCCATTGTAATTTTATTCTTTGTTTCCCAATTTCATGTTATTCTATGTTCCTATTTGTAATGCTATTCTGTGCTTCCCATAGTAATGTTATTTTACGTTTCCCACTGTAATGCTATTATGTGTTTCCCATTGTAATGTTAATATATGTTCCCCATTGTAATGTTATTCTATGTTTTCCATTGTAATGTTATTCTATGTTTTCCATTGTAATGTTATTTTATGTTTCCCATTGTATTGTTATTTTATGTTTTTCATTGTAATTAAACTAATTTACGACGAGACGTGCTTCCCATGACGCTAATATTCCGTAGATACAAAACGATATCAAATATATAGTCGAATCAATGAGAAAAGGTTTGTTCTACTCTAGGTATATTTCAAACATTGGCTCAACACTTATAACTGTTCAAACTTGATAATGACTCCTTTGAGTACACTATGCAACTCAACCAGCAATGGCAGACTTAATGAGATGGTTGTAATCAATATATAAAGTGTTGTCAAACACAGACGTAGTTCACATCAATAACGTTCCAGCCTAATGCCAGGGACAAACCAGCAGATAATTACAAACCCGTATAGCACATATTGGCCCTGAGCACGATAACACTTGTCACTCAATGTTCCAACATCGAAGATCTATTCCAGCACAGCTGATGTCTATAAAAACTAATTACATTCTCTAAATTCACTCGTAACTATGTATACTCGTAATCGGCTAATCTTGTGTGATTGCTTCTGCTTCTCTGGAAAATCAAATAAGTATTTCATATACTTGATAGATTGATTTGGATTGATTGGCGCAATGAAACGGATTGGAGAGCAGTTATACTGTAAAATTATACTTGTAATGTAAAAAAATCACATGTCAGTTTGAGTATCAACATGAAAATAGAGACTGTAATTTCAAATCGACATGAAAGATAACGAAATTCCTATATCCACGACCAATAACAAGGTCAAATACGTCAGAAAATCGGCATGAATGATGACGTCTTATACCACGTGTTAAATATGCCTATGTAATAGACATAGATGTTGACGTCATATGCTGTGTTCGTCATATACTGTGTGGCCACGAAAATAATACGGTTAAATAAAATCATAAAAATAAATATATAGTATGGTCTAGTATAGAATATCTCTAAATTGCATTCCCTTATCACTAATTTCATTACTCTTAAATAAATGTGATTACGCCATTAAAAATACACCCACCAAAAAGCTCTCCTAAAATCACCATATTAGTAATGCGTTGATAGTCACGTCACGTGATACAAAACAATTGATTTACCGTGAACCGCACACTTTGTATTTTGTCCTGCGACAATTCTGACAATATCCACTACGTTACAGGTGCTTTGTCGACATAACCCAAGAAACCCCCACACTAGTCAAGCTATTTCACGCGGTACGAGATTTTGGTACTTCGACTTGTCCTATTATATGTAAAACCTCGTCCCGTAAAATTAATAGCGCCCGTTTCTGTGTGCACTGGGTGTTGAATTTAAATGAGCTGGATGTCACTTCACCAAGTGTAGGTTCAAACAATTCAGTTGTGCTAGAATACATTATATGTCACGTGCTCTGTTGACACGTGAAAGCGCATGCGCCGTAATGCAGGAAAGCGATATAATTATGGTCGTGTACGCCACTTATGTGAGCGTACATGCTGTGTTCTTTTTGTAGCCTTCTTTTAGTGTCGTCATCAACACATCGTGATAATTTTGTAAAAGCACCGTAATCAAATTTGACGAGTGACATTTAGTGGCTGCTATGTAATTATATCACGTCGCAGCAAATAGGGCGATTTGGATGTTTTGATGTGAAAAAACGTTTCCTCAAATAATTTCAAATAAACATCAAAGCCCCATTTTCTCTAATGACGTAAACCAGGCTATTGTGACAATTAAGTGGGTTCGCGACATAAATATATTCGTTAAAATACAGACTGCCGGGTAAGAATATAACAACATAAAATCATTGTAAAAATAGGTTGAGGTTACGTCATACTTGGCAAATGCTGGTGAAATAAAAATCTCTATGGCAATGAATAATCTGACCAGTTCATTCCATTGTTCACGACAGTATAAAATGCAGCCTATACTAATATCAGATTTTAATTACTAGTGCATTGGATTTGACAAAATATTACATCACCACTTACAGATTCGATTGAGAGGGGCATTTTATGTGTACGTATTTAAATCAATATTTATATTAACTTTCACAATAAACGATCATGAGATCAGGTGACATTAACAGCACTAGATTCTATCGGCTAAATGGTATAGTTGACACAGCTACACACACTTTATTTTTTTCGAGTATCTAGTTTTAGTACGTATCATCTGAGCTTAAGGTGTGTATAACCAAACTCTAATTTATCGTCCAATATTCTGGCTTCATCATGGATGCTGACGGCAATTTTCTTACCATTGACCATTTCCGTTTATTATTGTTTTCTTTTGTGTACAAGTTTGTGTTTAGCATTTATTTTTTTCCACAAATGCTTTGTTATTACGTGCAACAGCGCGAAAGCAGCGTGCAGGTAGATCATTCAGTGTGTATATATTTATGTACGTTCGCAATAGAAGCCGGGGGGACTAGCGTCTTTAAACTTGGCACACGTATCACCTACACGTCATAGTTATAAGTAATGCTTACAAGCTGTACATTACCAATTTTGGTTACCTTGGTTGAAATGTTATAAAATGCATTTATGAAACTGCTGTTGGTTGTATTATTTCATTTATTAATATAATATGTATGCATCGTTTTACTGACACTACACGTAACTGCAAATACAAAAAGAAAACAAACCAAAACCTACTCAAGCACGGAAAGCTTTTAGGAAAATACAATTTACGTTAATCTCCGCTTGGCTCAGTACTTCACTTAATCCTGATCGTGTAAGACGTTTTCAGAAAGAACTAAGATTGTAAAATTCAATGTTCTATCGTTATTTTTGCTCACATGAGTTGAAAAAAAAAGAATTTGTGAAAGTAGTACAAAGTAATTCAAGTCACACACTCTGAACGTTACGGAGTGCCGGCATAATTTAATCTACTGACGGTTGTAAAAGGTAAATCACGCTTTCTTTGTTTATCGTATATGACTTCTTTTCAGTGGCATGTCAATGTTCAAAATACAGGTAGTGCATTATTGTGATATTTAGAAAACACGTGAAGTATTGTACAGCCAGTTTATTGCGTCCATTCTGTTACAGAATCTGCCCGTGTGTTTGCACTGTCCAACCGCGTAGTCACCGTCTCACATGCAGATGGTGGCGTTGAAGGAATTCCTGGTGGAAGGGTGTCTTGTTCACACACGAAACCTGCCGCCATAGGCGGTTCTTGAATATGGACCATAACTGCAGTTCTGCTGCTCAGTTGCACCTGTCTCTGCGACTGAAATTGAAATGTTGATTTGATGTCTTGCATTGTAAAGCTGACGCTAAAATCGGTGTCTATAGCGTTAGGGTCTCGTCGCTTGTCATTTCCTGTATCTAGTAGATGGCATTTTATCAAACGCCCAAGAAGCTTACGAAACGTATACCTGAATTCCTTGTTACTAAAGGCATAAAAGACAGGATTCATGGCGGAGTTAGCGTGTGACAACATAATAGTTGATAGTAAAAGTGGGTACGGTACATGACACCCGCCATCACAGAACAAATCTATACAATTCAAAATATGAAGAGGAAGCCATGATATGGCAAAAAGGAGCATAATCACAGCTAAGGACTTAGCAGTTTTTGCTTCCTTCATCGTAAATGTAGCCAAATGTTTTGCAGCAGCGTCAGGCTGATTTGCATATGTTGCGGCCATTTTCTTCAGTTGACTACTAATTTTGCGAAATATACGAATATAAATAATTATCATTAGAATCAGTGGCGTCAATACACATAGAAAAAAGTTGAAGTAAACCATGTACTTCATATCAATAACCTCTGTGAAATAGCATCGGGGTGCTGGAGGGGTTCCAAGATTCCATCCCATTACGGGTACTAACCCAATGAAGAACGCTAAGAACCATGTTATTAGTATAACTACAAGAGCACGTCGTCCGGTCAGCATGCTACGATACTCGAGTGGTGAAATGACAGCGAAATAACGATCAATAGCGATCGCGAGGAGACTGAAAATTGAACTCTGGGTCATGATGATAACAAAACAGTTCATCAATAAACACGAGTAAAAATCCTCTGGCAAGCCAACGCTTGTAACTAAAGCAAATGGAATTGCAAACAACCCGACAGAGAGGTCAGCTACAGCGAGAGATACGATGAAATAATTGGTAACACATCGCAGATGTTTGTTACGATACACAGCCCAACATACGAGAAAGTTTCCGCCGATAGCAATTATGGCGACTGGGATCTCCACCGCTAGGTTGATGTAAAACTCCAATGGAAAGGACGCCATAGTGGGATATTATAGGAATCCGAATACGACAGTATACAATGTCTTTTCTAGTGTAACAGTCTAACGCTCACCAATTGCACATGGGAATAATTTCTCCCTAACGTGACTTCAAACACGCAATTTTATCCATTAACCAATGTTCTAATATTGTTTTGTTTATTGAGATGGCGATGATTGGTGCATCGTATACTGTTAAAATATAATCCACTCCTTAAGACATTTATCCAATATAAACTTTAGTTACACAGTTATATCAACTGACTTAAACGGTTAACGATGTTCCTCTTCTTAATATGTTAATTCAGAACCACACAATAACAGCGACACTAACAAGTCGCGAGTTTTAGCAAGACTAATCTTCGATACAGAGCGCACTTAAGTGCAGCGAGACTTCTTTATCCACCGCCATATGCATCTTCAAGTTACTTAATCCAATTTTTGGAATTATATAACGCTTGCATATATTCTGAAACAAAACATTATAGCGACTTAATTTAAACAAAACAGCAGTGCAGGTATTTATTAATATTTTAGTATATCTATCGGAGAGTTGGCCTGTTAATCGATCAGGTGATCCGACAATTGAATGAACACACCCACACCGCCATATTCATAACATTACAAAATGTATCAGAAGAATCAATAAAGGATGGATTCAGAGAGAAATGTGGGTTGTATACAGACAAAAATATCATTACTATATGGTTATTAATTTCAGAACAGTTAATCAAACGTTTAACAATTTTCTCTCTTCAGTGTTATAAATGTTAAATTATCCCTGATTGAAATGCATGATGGCTGAATAGAGTTATGTGTAGTCGTGTCTGCACGCAACTCACATTAAAACATTCACCCATCAATTCCTTACCTTACTGGTATTCACATCCGTACGTGATTTCCCGTTCGTGCAAACACTGTAAATGGCTATATTCGCTGTACATCTACCTATAAACAGAAAAACAAATGTTCAGAGTGAGGCTGTCCGGTTGCCATGGCAATATTTGTCAAACAGGTGATCAAGCTATGTCATATAAAAGGTCGTTGGTTAAACGTCGAGGTTCATACATTTTCCTCATTTATTTGGCATCACAACAATACTCAAGCGTGACTTAAAGCGCTACAGTCGTCGCGGCGAGTAACGGAACCCATAGCGAGAGATATAGCGTGTAAAATACATTGTCTGTTTACATGAAAACACGCGACGGTTGTAACGCTTTACCAATGTAAAGAAACGTGCATGCAAATACAAAACAGTCAGTAATAATCGTGCGTGTGGATACAAAACAGTCAACATTATTCACGTGGTTTGTCAACCATCTTTACAAATTGTTATTCCGTGAACTTCCTATCGTATTGCAATGGTAGTATGAGATCTTCTCTAACAATAAAAACACACATTTTCTAGGAACTAATCAATCGATCTGCAATTTTAGTGTTATAAATGGTAAATCAAGCGAACTGCAGTATCGTTTTGAACTAACGTTTTTAATTTTGAAAGCCAGTTAGTCACGTGACTTAGCAGCAATATCAGATACAATAAAATAGGTCCAATATTGTTTAACCATCTGAGAGATAGACATCAATCCGTATATGTACTACCAAGTTTACAAATATAAGCTTTATTGTTCACGAGACTTTACAACAAATCTGTTACTGAACCCATTCATCTCATTAATATGCAATTTGATTTGTAGTACTTACATGCGCGTCCAAATGTTGGCATTATGTTTGGTAACAAGGTCACATAGTTTAGTTGCCATGTTGTATTAATAAAGAAAGACTTAACAAATTGTCAAATATCTATTTCATTCATACTGCTCAACCAATTCATCTAAACTTGGTTTGCAGTGTCGTGTTTGTGAATGTTATTGTGATTGATCATTTCGTTAGAAGGTTAACATCACTGTGTTCGCATTCTTATTAAACAAAGGCTTTGCCATATGCTATCGGTTTGGATGATAAAACAAAGGCTTTGCCATATGCTATCGGTTTGGATGATAAAACAAAGGCTTTGCCATATGCTATCGGTTTGGATGATAAAACTACATATTAATGTTTATGTGCTTCTTTTGTTTAGGCTATATCACACCTACACGGTGACTAAAATAATTGTATTAAAAGTTTACGTATTGAACATGCTGTACTCACTGAACCAGAATGATGCACAACGAGTTTTACTACTGTCATTGATGCTGATTTAGCCAATTAATCAAATGGACGTAAGGTCATTGTGTTGTTTCTGTTGGAAATGTACAAAGGTAACTATGATAATGTGATAATGCATTCATTTCTATTCCCAATTGGTTCAGATTTTTGTGGGAGTGACCATATTATCGAGATGTATTTCTTATCATATGAAAAAAAAATATTAAAATTTTCAATTACAGAATCCAGTGTATCAGATTTGCCTTGATATACTTAATTAATGTACATTTACTAATATGCATTCGCGTCAAAAATTAATTAGGGTTAGCTTCCAATAATAACCTACCACGGACATGAATTTGAATGACTGGGAATTATTAATATGAATGGGTATTTGTAAATTAACCATTCTGGGTGATTTATTAGTGGTAATGTAATCACTCTATCAATCACAGCCATGGATCAATATAGTCGAAAAATAAAACTACTTAAACAATGATTTGTGTAATAAAGATGCTTCGTCAAAGGTCTGACAGGTTTGGTCAATTAAATAACCAACTGACAGTTGAGTAAGCATAAAATGCAACGAAGGACAATTTTCAAATTCGCTCACGCTTTGATTTGTCAATATCCCCTAAAAGAAGAGACATATTTTTTTTAATGATAACGGAGGTATTTTTTCTCAATTCATTATAATATATAAGGATTAGTTTATTATCGTGATAACTGCAAACGTACACGGGGTTTCCTATTAACTATTTAGTTTAAGTGCCGACTAAATGCAAATGGAAACATTATCCTACGGCTTTGTCATCACTGATGACTCACTCACCCTAATCTATTATCAAATACATGCTGCACTATACTATTCAATTGATGAGGCCAGTAACAGTAGGATGTATAATGATATCATTAACATTAGTAAGTTAAACCAATTCAACTGAACTGTCATAAAATATTTAAAGTTTTCAATTATTATATATTGTTTAACCGCTATGAAAAATACAATTTAACGACGAGAAGTCACATAGTTCCCCCCAATATTCCAATAGTTAATAGCATGTCATTTTAGTAATACTACAAACAGATGCAAAGATGATTATAACGGTATAACTGCATACCGGTACATATGCCCTAATCTGAAAGTTCATTAATTCATTCACTCATTCTCTAATTCTTTTTATTTTATTTAAAGATAATAACAAATAATCAAGAAATATATTGCTTAGTAATCAAACTTTGATTACCATCATGTAAAGTTGTTCGTCAGTGAATACAATTAGAATTCACAAAAAGTTTGATATGGAGATTTGACATGATGTTAGGATATAAATCATGAGTTAATTTGTATTGCTATTTGTTAAATGACAAAGGCTAAAAACCGACACAAAAAAGCTATGGACTCACAGGTAGCTAGATGTATGTTCGATGTAATAAAATGGATAACACATGGTCATTCAGGCAATATATTGTTGTCTGCCCCCGGGCTTTTGGTCATGACCATTCTAATGATGATTACCTCGTCGAAATCGTAATATTGCTCTCACAAATCGTGATATTGCCCTCACAAATCGTGATATTGCCCTCACAAATCGTGATATCGCCCTCACAAACATGTGTCATTATTTCATTTTTTTAAATACGCATGTATTGTTTCTTTGCATTATTTACTGCCATACAATTATTACTGAATACACCAAATTCATTAACAATGAAAGGAATTGTAAGTCAACAAGCATTTGAGCTTATTTATTTTCAATGTTGTTATGTGACTAAATTGACGTTTGTGTCCAATTACCCCCCCCCCCACTGTCACAAAATATAACATGCGTATTTGTGTTGTCAGTTCTTCTGCACTGCATCTACAAATGTACATACAATATTGGAAAAGAATTGAAATATCTGCAATAAATTTACACCTTGTAATTAGTCATACTAACACTGGATGTCACGAGTTTGATGGTCGAGCAAAAAACTATGCTACAAACGAGATAGGTCTCTTTTAGTATGTGCACGTCACCACATCAGTCTGTTCTATCTTCCAAGCTGATTCACATTTCAAGAAGTTTAATTTCTTTCTGCCATTTTCCATCATTCTATCAATTTAACAAAAGTTATAGTACAGATTTTATTTTTTTAGTTCTGAATTGTTCGCTCTTTACTTACTTCTATATGTTTAGGGTCGTGATTAATTTGTTTGAACAGAATACAGTACTAAGTGATGTGTGTTTACGTAAAAATGTCACTTCAAGCGTTAAAAATCCTTTTTTATTTCATTGATTATAACATGTTTATATTATTGTTTACTAAAATGAAACAGTCTTCTGAGAATAAATATGTTTTTTAACTCACCACCAGCACTAACACATGGGACGCCTGTCAGCTAATTATGTTTGTAACTCATTAAAATATGTTTGTAAATAGATTGTGTTAGGATCCATAAGTTTTATGTACAATAACGCAATAATTTACATTGGGCTTGCTATTGTCCATTGTGTTAAATTATAATCCATATTGTATTGTGAAGAATCTATAGAATTCGAATAACAACCAATCTAATATTATTTAAAAACGCATAACAACATAAAAATAGCCACTGTTTCAATCTTTTTTCTTGTGATTAAATGTCAACCTAAGTAATCGTTAAGTATACCGTAAATAACAGTAAGTATGCTCAATTGAAGGTGTCACACTTTATTAAATCTGGAATACAAAATTAGGGTTCAGATAATAAAATGAATCTGACATCCATGATCAGAGATGAATATCCGTTCCATATCAATCTTACTGATTTTAACACCATTGTATATAGTAAAACTGACACCAAATATGGCTTCAGATGGGTAGTAACATTT